TACGCACATTGTTCATAGTCCGAGCATCGGACAATAGACTTGGTACATTCTCAGACGCTTTGTCAGCGTCGTAGTCGACATTGTCAATAAGTAATGAAATCCTCAGAACCAAGGACTGCAATGGTTTCGGTAAACTGTTTATTTTGATTAATTATCATTTGAGTTTAACATAATCGTCTCTACTAAGCTGTATTTATAAGAGAACACATGCAATTATTTTGGCAGTATTTTAATTGTGATAAATGTTATAGCTTCCAGCCTGAGTTCTGAAAATTGAGAGAATGAGAAATAATTTTGATTCATTGTGGTCTTTTCTGAAACCAAACTGTTATTGACAATGTGAAATACACAACTAAGTTTATAGAAGCGCTATATATCGGTTTTTCAAAAAAAGATGTAGCCTCAATCAATTCATACAGTTTTTACCCAAAGTTCAAGATTTAAATAATATGACTAGGCCTATAGCTAGTATAATTAATATATCATTTAATTTCATCATAAAAAAATGACAAAATTTATTATAAATATTATTTTTCTAACTAATTATCTTTAAGTATTAATTTTGTGAAATAATTTATTGAGTTGTTTTACTTGCCTCTTTTTTGCCTCTCTTGTCTTCCGCGCCCTTATCTACTACCTCTCCCCCTATGCGCCCCTCCAAATTCCACAAGTCTCGTCATGATAGCCTAATTAAAAGTTTCTCAAAACTTCAAAACATAAAAAACTCTCTTAAAGTACAAAATTGAATTTTAATTTTTTTAGTTAATAACATGCAACATAGATCAAGATTTGGTAGTCCTTCCTGGATTTCTTGGTGCGTTGTCTCCACGCCTGGATTCCCTCAGGGACTCTTCGACTTTGACTTGCGGTCAGGCCTTTAAAGATTCTACCTCTAGGTCTTTGTCTTCGTTTCATGACCTGGCTTCTTCGCTGGGGTTATCACTTCCGGCTCCCTCTTTAAGGCCTCTGCCTTGCGGTCTTTCTGGTATAGATGGCTCTGTACCTATCTCAATGAGTATCACCTGGGACAGATACGAGCATAATTTAAAAGTTCCAGAAGATGTTGGATCAGGTATTTCTATTTGTTGAATTCAAATGAAGCCGCATGGGCTAAGAATTTACTATCATATCGACCCAAGTCTCAACTCGCACTGTTCGCGAGTTAGGTTGGCAGAGGCGTGTTTTTATCATTAGGAATTATCTGTCAATATGAATACACTTTCACAACTTTTCATGATCTGTTTCCTTTTTTATATCTATTGTTTCAGACAATTTAATGTAAATTTACTTTCCATTTGTTCTTATAGCAATTATTGAAGAAAAAGTGGTCGCTGAGAAAGACGTTATTGTGCTCATTAATTCCCCAATCCTGAAAGGATTCAAGCCCTTATCTAACAATCATAGTGCCGATGTAGGTGACTCATTTTATTGGTGATATTTTTCGACCAACTTGTGTAAACTTCGATAATTGTTTTGCTTGACCCTTTTAGCTAATTTATATATATTTAATTTGCTCTGTCTTAATCATTCTGGCATTGGTCCACATGTTATTAACTTGTAGATAGTTTAATTTTAGACTTTCAAAAATGTGTAATTCGTCGTTAAAATGCGTTTCTTATTTTATGGAATAATTTTGAACAGTTTTCTCGTGTTATTAGTGAACTTATATCTATCAACTCAAGGCCTGTTACTTGCCTTTTACTCGAGACTCGCAAAATAGGAAAGTAAGTTTGATTCATTTTTTTAATTTACTTTCAGTATTTGCCTATTGATTTTGTGAACTAAATTATTTGTCCTTAATCTTTCTTCGAAGCAAGCTCTAAACAGCATTCTCTTCCCGGTGACCTTATGGCTGAACTTTGCATCTATATTACTTTCAACTGTGGAGTACGCTCTATTAGAGTTTGTAGTACTATGGACGAAGTAGGGCTAATTGTTGCTTCTTATCATAAAGCGATTGCAGAGCGCCCATTCAAGTGAGTCTTACATTTTTGGTTATACTATTACTTGCTCCCATTCATAGATATTTTCTGCCACAAAATAGGTTATGCTTTACCAAGTGGTCATGGATAAATGCCATTGAGTTCTTAAAAAAATTACAAGGCAAGTGTTGCTTTTAAAACTACTGGCTTGTGAGCTATGAGTTTATTATCGCATAAGTCTATATTGAGATCCAATGAGACTGGGGTCTGGTAACCTGTATATTAGCACACTCTTAGGAGCTTTCGGACATTCGATTGTATTTTTTTACGTCGCCTGAAAATCCGTTGCTAAAATAATAACTATAGTGAAACCTGGTATAGTCTATATGGATATAACTAGTTGCTATGGCCTATCGGTTTTAAGTCTATAGGGGCTGAGCAAATGTTTAAGTGGAGTTGCAATTGTACTAGCATTTTGACTAAAAAACGAGCTCCTGGCAAGGTGTCACGGGTGGTGCTTGAAATAAGGCAATATTTGGCTATAGGCGCTTATGCAAAATCTCCCTTGAATATGTATAACGAGCTGCAGAATTGAGATAGAAAGTCAATGGGGTGGGGTGTTAAGCCGACGAAGCAATTTAGCTTAAAATTTATTAGTTTTCTGTCAAAACTTTTGATTGACAGACAGACCCGTCGTTTCTCTTTATATGCATATATTTGTATTGGGATTAAGAATGTTGGAGTGTAGAAGATCAAATCTACAATTAATAGCTTAAGAGAGGCAACTCTTTTCAATGATATACGTCCTATATCATTTCATGCTGGAGTAGATTAAATGTGAATAATTACTGGGATATCCGATGCGATATTTTCACTCACGAAAAGTAATTTTTAACTCTAACTAATTTTATAGGATTTCGAGGCTATCAGTAGATCGCAAGCTGATAGGGACTGATTGTGAATTTTCCCACAATAAGATGGGTGACCCCAACGTTTCATTTAGATTTCACGTAGCCTTGCTTTCTAAAGGTATTCTCATCCAGCCTAAACTGCAGCGCTCTCATCGGAATTTAAGCAGGGTAATGCAGTGTATAATTTTGATATGCTAGCACTAGGCCACATTGCCACGAGTCAAGCCAGGCCTTTCTTCTATCACGCCATATTCCACATCATGCCGCGCCCGTGGTAGTGAGGCTCAGTGGTAACATGTAGAAATTATGTGCTATGTTTCCGGGGTTCGCTTTCCGCTATGGGTGCTGATGAAGCCCAGCCGATTTCGAGTGTGGTTTTCCTTGGATGTAAATACCTTTTGGAGGAAGGGCTAAGTGATATTCAATTGCACCATGAGGCTTACTCATATAATTGCGGAAAAATTAATCATAAGTTCTTCATCACCTTAAGCTGCCTAGAACAACTAAAGTTCTAGTTTCTTTTTGTATTGATACTTTAGAGGTAGCAGAATAGCTGTTCCATATTGTGTAGCTGTATGGCTGCAGAAGTGGTTCGGCTACCGATTAATGAGTATAATATTTGTGTTAGAGTTTCATCATGCTTGGTGAGTGCATGAAAAAAACTATATTTGTATTATATCAGATGTATTCATCCTATTTTGTTTAAGGTGATGAAAGACTGGTAGC